TGTTGTTGTTGTTATGTGCTGTGGAGTTGGACCTGACTCATAGCGACCTTTGGTTTCCAAGGTGGTATCACTATGGAAGTAGATTGCCCAAACTTCTTTCACTGTTTTAGGTGAATAATTCTTAAATCTATTGTTGTTAGCTGTTGTTCAGTCAATTCCAACTCATGCAGAGTAGAACTGCTCCATAGGGTTTTCAAAGTTATGACCTTGTGGAAGCAGGTCATCATGCTTGTCTTCTGAGGCGCCTCTGGGTGGGTTTAAATGGCCAGTCTTTCAGCTGGAGGTCAAGTGCTTAACTGTTCGTCCCACCCAGAGTAATATATCAAGGTCAAAAGAGGAAAGAAAGAGTCACACAAACAGGTTCAAATCCTAGTTCCTTTAACTGTGTGATCTTGGCCAAGAAGGTTAGACTTCTCTGAGCTACCTTTTCCTTACCTGTTAATAGTAATGGTGACTATACTCTTAAGGCTACTGTATTACTTAAGATAATGAATGTAAACCACTTAGCACAATGCTTCATTTACAGTAAATATTCAAATACTAATTATTCCTTCTAGTACTTATTGGATAACAGAATATTTATACTGGAACCTGAAAGTTAATGACTGAAACAATTTATGCATGAGAAATACTATTTAGCAAAGGGACTTTCTGGTGGAAGGGGGAGAAAGAAAGCATATAGATTATGAGAATTTCATAGGGGTTAGGGAAAGAAGAGATGGAGCTCTAGTAGCACAGTGCTTAAAGGATTGAGCTGCTAACCAAAAGGTCAGCAGTTCAAACCTACCAGCCACTTCATAAGAGAAAGATGAGGCAATCTGCTTCTGTAAAGATCTACAGCCCTAGAAGCCCTATGGGACAGTTCTACTCAGTCCTACAGGGTCACTATGAGTCAGAATCCACTTGATGGCAGTAGGTTTCATGTTTCGTTTTGTTTTGTTAGGAAAAGAAGACCACATCTGAAAGCTACACATCTATAATCCCTTAGAGAAGCAACATACACAAGAATGTGAGAAAAGAGCACCCA